TGCCTTTGTCCCCTTTTCCAAATGGATTATGGCATAAATAGAACATCAAGACAAGAAAAYTCAGCAAGTGATGCCTCAGAAGGATTTTCACCCTTCATCTATCATGGCAGAGCCAAGCTGAGTAACCGCACACAACAAATTTAGATTAGCCTCCTTTAAGAGCCTCCCCACTAACACTTCTTTATCTGGTCTCTCCAGACAATCTTCAAGGCAACCTTTTAGTGTTTTGTCAGAGGAAAAAAAATGATCCAATTTTTTAAAATTTGGTCCATAGAAGCTTTTATAGAGATCAGTGGTATTTTTTAGTAGTGATGATCACACACAGACACGTTCTTCCACTTCTCTGCATGCGTAGGTCTGTGTTTGTGTGCGATACACAGAAGGGCTTATGGCCCCCACAGCTTCCCTATTTCTACTCCTCAAGCCCATACCCAGACTACTTGGTTTAGTGAAAAGCTACCACCCTTAACCATCAACCCCACCTTAATTCTGCAAATATTGCTATTTGGGAGGATACCAATTCCACCTTTTTCATAATTCCATTGCAAAAGAAAAATGCATATATTTATGTATACTACCCRTTTTTAGTGACAACCAGAGACAGATTCTCCACTTCTGCAAACCGAGACAGCACCTTTAATATCAGCTAGCGATAGCACTCCTTGTGGCACAAGCCTTTTGCTTMCAATTATCACAGAACTGTTTCCAGCTGTTTCATTTGGAAACTTGGACAGATCCAGGCAGCACAGTGCTGTCACTAACATGCACTACAGTGCTCGTATGGCTGAAATCAGCCCCTGAAGAAGCTACGGAAATTAAGAGTCCGCTGTGYCTGCTGAGCCCCATCTCCACAGCCCAGTGAACCAGGCTCTCTGGGGACCTCACGAAGCACCATCAAAAGGCTATGGATAACAMCACCACCACAACTGGTCCCAACTGCAGTTCACAGTGATTTAAGTCGGTTAGCACTGGTAGCAAAAGAGTCTAGGAAAGAATATCACACRCTAACACCACCATCCCATTATTTAACATAATTTAATTTCCTGCTTCCTGGTGCCACTCATAYGGGAAAGAGCAAACAGCCCTTCTTTATTCACACTCTGAGCTTTATAGAACAAATTGAAGCAGGCTTTTCCAAACAGCAAGAGCTCGACTGCTTTGCATGGAAGGCAGTGGTAGTAGAGTCCCAGAGTCACAACTCTTGTCATTTGGCCCTTGTGCTAAAATATGAATAGTAGTGAAATATCAAGAGAGATGCTCAGCATGAAGATATATATATATATATATATAAAAGCACCTCTGGAGGCACTGGCACTGAAGCTCTAGGAGGGGGCCCGTGGGTCTTAAATCAGCAGCCAGGAGTCAGGCTGACACCCAACACAAGTGATTTTGTACCAGGGCATTGCTGCAGCGGGAAACCTTCCCCACGGAAAAAATTCTAATGAATCACTGAGCTTCTAAGTGCGTGGACATATCTATTTTTCTCTTCAAATTATGAAAGAAAGCTACAAATATTCAAGTCTGTAAAACGYCTTGAAAATATTTTAGGACTTTTGCTTGCAGGTATGATTCTTGATGGACCTATTAATATTTCAGATGATACAACTGCTTGTCAAATGCTTGATACAAATTGCTGACGTACTCTGCATTTACGCTGGTTTGTTTCAGAAATAGAAACAAGATGAATATATGTGCCAGAATAATGTAGTCATCTCTTAAAATTCCTTATCACTCTTCTCTTGAACTTGTCAATGAATTGCAGATTAAATATTAGCAGATATAAATATGTAATGTTATGAATTTCTTTTTACTTATAATGCAAGTAGAAAATACTTCTAGTGTATTTTTCCTTCAGCAAGTTACRTGCACCAACATGATAAAAGTCTATTTGAGATATTCTGCTATACATAGTGAGACTATTTCCCCCATAAAGAATAAGATATTCCCCACCTTAAAAAACAATAACACACATGCAGTTATATATATTATGTACACATACAGGCTTTTTTAATACTACAACCTCCCACTGAAAGGCTCARCTTGGCAAGTCAGAGGTTGTCCTTTTAACACTTTTTTTTTCCTTCTCCTCTGCAAAGGTCAKTTAAAATTTTATTTTAATGCTAATTGGCATTTCAGACTTTATAACTAAGCAGTCAAGTAGATAAAACACTTATCTAACAATAATAGCTGGCCATCAAACTGGATTACAGAGTGAAGTTTCCTTTCTRCCATCTGCCAAAATATGAAATCATAGACCTAAAGAAAAATGGAACAATGAGGCTTTATTCTGATACAGCAAAACAAAGGTGTATCCATAGTAGCTCTGACTAAATAAATGACTGCCAAGATGAAGAATTATTTCATACATAGTGCTGTGAATCTCCTATGGAGGCAGGGGTCTGACTGCTCTATGGCAGCAGATGCCACGTRGATGCCCAAGTACCCCTTGTCCTCTGCCTCGTGCCCAGCAGCGTCGGGGGCTCTGCCTGGCATGTTTCACCCCCTCCCGAATCACCTCTGGGACCATAAGAGTTTCAGCTCAACATAATTGGGCAAAGCTGCTACAACTTGAAAATCCACAAACAGAAAGGGTGATTTCCTTAACTGAGTCACCATCTGAGAGGCTCTGCAGTGTCGAGGGCTGCTGCTTTTCATATCTAGCTTCATACATGTCAGAGCCATGAAGTGTTCAAGTAACCCATGCTCAAGTAATTGGGGGAGTTTTTTTTTTAATTGTTTACCTGATATAGCACCTTGCCTAGAACTGAATCATAGCTGAAATTCAGTTCAAAACACACTTSTTATTCCATTGAGGGTCCAGTTAAACCAGTATGGCCCATATGCAGACCTGCATCTGCTCTCCCTAATCCCTTGGTGTCAGCTGTGACATGATATGAATCTACAGTTCTTATTTCACCACATAACAACAAAAATATTCCCAGTATGTCACTAAAATAAACTGACAAGCACAACTTAAAGCAATCTGTCTTCAGATTTTATCCAGACCTTATGAGGGCAGGCGGTCACACAGGAGAACTGTCTCCTGCCATTTCTTTTCCCCAACTCTGCCTCCTTCTATTCTCATCTGTGCTGCTGTCAAATTCATAAAGGGAAGGTTTCAACACCTGGTCTAGAACAATACATGGCAAATCCCTGATGGTACTGCAGCAACTGAAGAGTTGCTCTGTGTTCCTCCCTAAAAAAAAAATTGGTATTCCTCACTAGAATAACATTATTATTGGTGTAGGAGTACCTGGTCATCACTGAAAGCAGCATCTACAGAAAACGCAGAACTTCTGGTTTGTTTTAAACCACATCCAATCCAACAAGAATCAACAAATGTTGATGAAGCTTTCCTGCTCACACCCCTGTGCATGTCTCATCATCCCATGCCTGTGGTCCTCTACACACCACCCTATGTCTCCCTTGCCAGGGGTCATAAAACTACAATGGTAGCATACAAAGAGGAACAAAAATAAGACAAACCAGCCACAGGCACTTGGTTAATTTAAAGAACAGCTGTTGCAGCTAAATCAGATAAAGCTACAGGCAGGCCACGAACAGTTCAGTYGGGACAAGCATGACAAACCTGCCACCAACATCAGCACCACGTGTAGCTACACGGCTGCACTGTTCACCTTGCCTTCTGCTCACTACAAGTCTATGGAAACATGGAGACCAGGCAGAGGAAAGGAGGAAGTGTCTCCTTCCCTGGCTTTTCATGGCAGATGCATTCAAGCCACTTCATACAACACAAACTCRATATGCATGAAATGGCAGAACTTCCCACAAAATTACAAGTAGCACCGGAATACAATAGCATAGCACATACATCTCACCCTTATATCTCATCTCATTTTTATAGAAATACCATCATAAATACAGTTTAAGAAGAATGTGTTCTGTAACAAAAGCAAAACTTACTTTAAACCTAAGCAGCAGCATAATATAGTAGCAAACATGAGGAGTATAAGGGAGTTGAAAGATTAGTGGTGTATTTGAAAAAACTAAAGCTCTTTTCAATGGAAGAGAGATAACAGTAATGTACTTGCAAATTTTCAGGTGATGAAATACTATGTACTTTTCTGCACACTACAGAGAAATCCAGAGATGTATGAGGAGACTAATGTAAATCTCATCATTTCTTTCTTTTTTTTTTGCAGGTATTTATTATCTTTTCTTTATTACTTCCATACAAACTCTCCTACATTCTGCCCTTTCTCCTACATTGAGCTCCTGAAACAGCTTTAGAGACCAGAACTACAGAGCTTTGTCACACTGGGGCTCCCTTTAAAAGCCAAGTCAAAAATCTAAATTGAGACAAAATTATTCTTCCAACTTAATCATTTAAGGTGTCATTTGTGCTACACCACAGTTTGAACATCAAAAAAGGTTAATCAAAAATTTCCACATGATGCTTGCTCAGCAACTTTATTTACATGTTCTGGTCTAGTACCACCATTCATAGAAATCATAAAACTCATTTTTAGCCCACATTAAGCTTTATAGACAACTTCATGTAATAGCCCACTATAACATTGCTTTGAAAACATTCAGAAGCAATGCAATATTTTGGCCTGTGACTTGGTGTTGTTTCAACAAAAAGACATTACAAACTAGCATAAAGCTTGTGCAGTCTTGAAACGTGTTACATTGCACCAGCTGCCAGAAGTATGGGGGAGCCTTCATGCCCCTCGGGCACATTTAGGAGATGTGAATTTCCCAGAACCAGCAGCATTTACTTAAGCCTTCGGAGCATCTTATTTTATCATATAGAGATCCTGCATAAGTGCCTATGCACATGCTGCTGTAACTCTCCCAAACAAATGGTATAGAGATCTCAGCACTGGCCTTGCTCACTGAGATCACCAGACACYAACAGGAACAAGTTGCAAGACACAAGAGCAGTAGAAAGTTTTCCAACTTTTCTAAAATAAACCAAGTAATTAGTTTTTATGGATTTTGTGCAAATTCACATGAACAGAAACAGTATTTCCTACCTGGAGAGACCTGGCCCTTTCAGGTTAGCCTGGGAAACGCAAGTCTGACTACACATCACTCAGAATTTAACCTAATGGAGAGAAGTGAACTCGGACGTAGCAGTTGACATTCAGTGACTGGTGGCTTGCAGTCTAATCCAGTTTGTGTGGCATCTGTATATTTAAGCCAAACAAATAACTTGTTAGAGGCACAACCGAGTAGAACTTGGATCTCTTCTCAAACCACAACCCTGCAGTGCTTTCCAATTTCCCTTCTCTAATTCTAGGAGATACCCTCACAATAGCTAGACTGTACGTAAATCCCATCATTTCACACCCCTCTACTGAGAGCAGCCTCAGGCCCTTGCACAGACACTAAGGCCCGTCCCTGTCAGCGTGACCTGTCAGCCACCCACAGTGTTGGGTATCTCCGGTCCCTCCAGGGACCGGCTCCAGGGACATCGCGCCCTCTCCAACACGGAGCAGCAGCATCCCATCMATTACTGCCAACCACAGACCATGAGCGGCTCGTATCCGATTCCTGCTAAAGCAGGAAAGAGAAGAGCCATCCTAGATGGAGGCTGACCGAACACAGGAGGTGCACTGGCAGAAGCGCCTTCATGGTCCATACCGAGCCTGARGAACAATTATGTTTAATTGGGTAGAGAAAGGTTATTAAGCAGCAACTAGGCCTAAAATGAATTTCCAAGAATTCATAGGATCTACATTTGGATTCTCCATCATTGCCTACCGTCCTCTAGGGGTAGATGACTGATCTTCAAAATCATCTAGTAACATGTCGCCAAATTACAATTATTTAAAAGGAACCGTAATTTTTGTTTGCATGCTAAAACAAGGTTAAGATATGTTTGTTTGCGCAGATGTCTGAAATATAAAAATAGTAAAAGCATAACAATTATAAACACCAGAAGTATAATATAGAACTGCTTGCATTAGAAGAAAATACATATAGTGCTTAAGTATTCCTTAAATCTTTACCAGTTAGCAATAAGACTATTCTGCTTGATTTGTGTTCTACATGTACAATTACTTTCATAAAAAAAAGACGTGTTACAGACAAAAGAAAATTAAGCAAATGTAAATGCAATTACCAACTAATCAATCATTTCTAGGCATGAAAATTACCCAGAACCATCACATTAGGCTTTCACCTTAACTATCATTTCCTGTCAAGTCTTAGGAGTTATCATCACTTAAATTTCTGAACATTTTCAAGACTGAAATGTGCTGTCTGGCTAACAAAAGAGCATGGAAATAATAAAAACATTAGGATTTACTTTAAAACTGATATGAAAGTTTGCTAAATTCCCACTTGGAAGACAACACGTGTTGCTACAGAACATTACTGATGTGGTTTAAAAACATTATATACAGCTTTGGATCAAAGTACCAAAGGAAACAGGAGAGGTGCACGGCTACTTTTCGTTGTATTCAGAAATCAGGCACAAGTAGAGCAGCAAGCTGGGTCAAACCCCTGAGACTCAACTCTTTAACCAGTCCCTAAGTGTAGGGTGGAGAGGATATCAGACCATCCCATCTTTCCTTCTTCAGTGGAAGCATCTTCTAGTGTTTGGGAAAAGACAAGAGAAAACTGCCAGGCCCCTTCAGTTTCATTGAGACTCTACTCCCTAAAACTAAGCAAAACACACAGTGAGGTTCTGGACATATCCAGAGTCCTTACAATACATTTTAAAATATCCCATTTGAGGTTTATCTTTGTGTTCCACTTTATCTTCTTTTAGAGATATATGTACATTAGTAAATCACACGTTAATTTACATCACTCTCCCTCCCCACGAAATAAAAGGCCTTTTTTGATTCTCCTGCAAACACACTGAGATATCATAAAGTGCTTCAAATAAAAATATGCAAAAAATGTTGATGCACTTCTGCATATAAAGGCGGCACATGTAAACATGTAAAATCTTTCTTTTTAGCTGAAACTATTTTGGATTTTATCTAAAGTAATTTCTGAACCTGATTGATTTGCAGAAGGTCTTAAAATCTTTGACATCTCTTAGCTGAGGTAATTTCAATCATAGTTGGCCAAACAAAATATGGTTTCATGGGGTTTGCCTGCATGTGACAACACACCACTGCTGGAACGGGGGCTGCACAAGTTTTAACTCTCCCACAAAACAGGCATTTACTCCACCAGGAATCTTTCATCACCCAATTTCAATCATTTTTAAAAGAGCTAATTCCACTAAGCTGGTAACTTTGCATGCAGCTGGGAGATGCATCAGTTCTGCTGTTATCTGCACTTCTGCAGAAAGCTCTGTCAGGAAAGACACCCTGCACACGCTCTCAGCTCCTTGCCAGCAAACAAAGCTCTATTTACAKCAAAGAAATACCCAGCGAGGAATCTGGTGAGAAAAAGTTTAGACTATTTCCAGTCCTAGAAGCTTGATATTTTACCCAGGCGAGCAAATACAAGCTGGCATGTCAAATTTCCMAGTCTTGACTCAAGAAAATATCAGCTAGAAAACATGTTTGAGCAGCAGCAATTTTACCCAACAGTACTTTGATGGTTAAACAGGTCCTGGCCACCTCAGAGGGTATACTTGGTGCTTTGGACAAATAAATAAGGCATATGTACAGAGGAATTTAGCTCTGCAACAGATAATTGGCATAAAAGCTCCTCTAGTTGTTTTTTTGGTCAAGGCTGAGTATCAGATTTGTCTGATTTTAATATTAAATTGTAATGGTTTTAATGTGCAAGTGGAAAAATTACAAATTAACATTAAAGAAAAAAGGTTGAAGGAAAAGGTTTTTATCTTTTTAAAACATTTTCTTGGAACAGCTCAAGATTGAAAATTCCATCTTGTGATAGGCTTCTATTTTATCAAGGTCAAAGAGTGAAAGTCTGGCCCTAACTTTGAACAGAAGCTTCCATTTTCAGTCACTTTATCCTTCTCTGTAGCATAAATCCTGATGCTTTTATTCAAYAGACTCCTCATAGCAGGAGCAGAGCATCATTTCATTCAGAGCAGCCCRTCCACTGTATGGGCCAAGCAGCAGATGTGAGGACCACGTGCAGCCCTTCCAGATGCTCATGGCCCATCTCAGGGGACAGTCACCTCCTGTCACCCCTCCTGCACAGGCAGCAGCAGCAGCTCCCARCCTGCTCTCCCCTCCTGGCACCCAACTCATTGAGCTCCTGATCCACTAGGGAAGAGAAAAGGACATACACAAGTGTCACACCTTGATGCTTTCCCTATATCCCAAAGGGCATGTGGTTGGTAGAACCTTTACATCAACATCCACCTAAAGCCACCAGGCKGAAGGACTATCATCTCCAGCCTTTTGTTTGGACTTAGAGAAGGGCTTTTTGTCCCTCCATTCTACTTTGTTGGATGCAACCATATTCCCTCCAGACATCAACTCCACAAGTGATGCTATATAATAAATACCATTGATACTATATAACTAGTGTTGATAATATAAATTAATAATTACTGAAGCACTATCTTTGGACTAGAAAACTCCAAAATTCTTAAGTTTACTTCTGCTATGAAASCTTGAGAGTGACAATAGAGAAGATAAACCTGAGACACAAAAATGCTTAAGAAAAATAAATTGATTTATCAACCTGGATACAAAGTCCATTGTAGTCTTCTTTAAAACCATCTTTTGCCTTTTTCTCTCCCCTCTATTATCAACTTGTGTGAATTATAGTGAGTTTTTCCTCGATACCCATAATAAAACACCACAAGATAATCAAGATAACAGGCCCGTTACTTCCACTTTGAAGAGAGCTTATGAAATACTGCAAGTTAAGGAAATTACTCCAAATAGAAATACAAAGTCAGTGGGGATCCAGCTCACACCATTAAACATCTGCATCAGAAATGTGAGACTCATATGGAAATTAAATTGGTTCACTGTAGTTCATAATATTTACTGTATCATGCTGCCTTGAGTCTTCCAGTACAAATTACTAAACACAAGACTAAACCAGTAAACATCTCTCTTCCATGTTTGCTTTATACTTCACTTAGAAATTATTTTGAAAAAAAATCATTTAAGAGACTACGGCAAATTTCCATCCATGGTGTCTGCAAGAATTGCCCCACTTTTGTTCAGTTTTCCTTAGTATCTTTACTTCTACCCAGCACTGCAAAGCACTTAAAAAAAGGTACACGAACGTCAAACTACACAGCACAAATTTGAACTTCCTGCACAACCTGGTTCTTTCATACCACATGTCCACAGCAAAATACTGGCAAGTACGGTGAAAGCTAATTTTGCTTTTTTTTTTAAAAAAAAAAAAAAGAGAGAGAAGAGAGAGAGAGAGAGAGAGAAAAGAGATATTCAGCAATAGCTTTGGCTGGAATCAATCAAAGCTTTGGCTGGACTCAAAGCTCTTAGAGATGGCAAGTCTAGTTCTCTCTTCTAAATTACCAGCTTCTCTAGTAATACCTGGTATACAGACCTGGCTCTGGTTGGGATCATAGAGCGCAGGCATGAGTAATAGTTCTCTGACTCCAAAGATGAGCCAAAACRTGAATTGTGTTACTCAATCTCAACAGCTTAGGTTTTCTCCAGCAGTGTATGGACAACAGGATGGCCTTTGCTTACATTCAAAAATTACAGCTTAGTGACCACTTCCATACACAATCAACCAGAGAAGTTGGCCCAAAGTGAACACAGATCATGTTGCCTGCTTTGGCCTTGACAAATACATGGAGCCTCTCTTTCATAGGGAGGAGACAGAATCCCATTACTCTAGAATTTCAAGTGCAACAAGGCAACATAATTGCAGCACCTGTTTCATGGCTTAATTTTGTTCCTGTCTTCTCAGTAAGCAGCAAACATTTTAGGAAGATAAAAGGCTCTTTTTAAAGTAAAAAGTAAATTTAAAGTAAATTATTACTAAATGTACTAATGCATCCTTTTTCAATGTAAATTAACTCATCTTAAAAATAGTATTAGACAGACGGACTGCAAACAACTGATGCTTGGCCTGCATGAAGCAGTAGGGCTGGCACAGGCAGTTCTGTTCCTTCCCAGGTGCTGGCAAGGAAGGCATTTTTTGTCACACAGACTTGAGGCACCATCAGGCCTAAGGCAGTAACAGAGAGTAGGAAAGGGTCTACAGGAAT